GAAGGAAGGAAGGAAGGAAGGAAGGAAGGAAGGAAGGAAGGAAGGAAAAAGAGTGGGAGGAGGGAAGGGAGGGAGGGATGGAGGAAGGAAGGGACAGAAGGAAGGAAGGGATGGAAGGAAGGAAGAGAAAGAGGGCATCTCAACCATGGCCACTGATGGTCAAGATCTTGTTAAAGGAATACCTCTTTTTAGGCTGGAGCCCAAAATCTGAAGGGAAGGCCCTTTCAAGACCATTGTGCAATTTGGGGAAGATCTCCTGCACAGTGGTAGTATTCTACCAGTTCGGCCATGTTCGGCGAACCGGTAGTAAAAAAAACAGCTACCGGTTTGGCCGAACTGGTATTTCTTTTTTTCCCCTCCCTCCTGACGACCAGCTGTTCCAATGATCAGCTGTGCCAGGATCCCCCTCACTGTCTTACTGCTTCGCTCAGGAGGCTTCCCTGAGGCCCAAGAGGCAAAAAAACAGAGCGCAGGGTGTGTGTGTGTGTGTGTGTGTGTATGCAAAAAAAAAAAAAAGCCATGCCCACCCAGTCACATGGCCACTCCCACCTCACCACACCCACAGAACCAGTAGTAAAAATCTTTGCATCCTACCCTTCCATCCTTTCGAGGTGGGTAAAATGAGGACCCAAATTGTTGGGGACAATATGCTGACTCTGTAAACCGCTTAGAGAGGGCAGAAAAGCAGCATAAAGCGGTATATAAGTCTGAGTGCTATTGTTGTTCCCTGTAGAACCATCCCCAGTGTTGACCCCACAAGCCTTTTATCAGCAGGTCAAACCTTCTTCTTTGTCTAGGCAGGTTAAGGTGACCAGTCTGTTCTGGTACATCTGGTTGCTTCGGCTGCTTCATGAGGGTATCTTAGGATTGGTGTCTAACGACGGAAGCAGCATTAAGAAGCGCCGCAGTGCATTGGCCGTTTCCCAGAGGAGGGCCATGTCCGGGCTCTCCTCCACAGCATCCCTTTCGTAAGGCTCCTTGACTGCCGAAGGCTGAGGTGGCCTCCTTATCTCTACTCCAGCGGGGAAGTTTTCCCAGCCAGCAGCTCAGCTCATTGGGGTGAAGAGAGGCTATCGAGAGGCCCTGGGAACCTGGGGGGGCAGAGAGTAGGATAGGTGGCAGTGAGAGGCGGCCCCGGTTCCATGTGTGGCTGGAATTCGAGGCCATGGAGTCACCCATGTTTGCTCACTGATTAATTCTGACTCTTATGGAGCAAGTTAATTGGAAGCCAGCAGAGAACAGGTGCAGGAAGGTGAGAGGCTGAGACCAAGCCAATTACGTGTGTTTGGTAAGCAGGCTCCTGCTAACTTTTAAGGTGAGAACGAGAGGCTGCGTGACACCTGGCATGACCTAAGTTTATTTTCTTTGAATTTTCCTTCCACATAAAAACCCACCCTAAGGAGGGACAGGCTTTGGGAAAAGTATAACACGAACTCACTTTAAAAGGGGAGCGGGCGGAGGTTGCACTCACTTTGTAGTTTACCCACAAGTGTCTTTTTTCTGTATAGAAAAAAAGCTTTAAAAGATCTCTCCATCTGGGGCACACCAGGTTGCAAACCCTGAATGCTCTTGGATCAGGACAGGAGAGCCCACGGTGCAATTTATGCAGCCCAGCAGGAACCAACTTTCATGCACCAGGGCCGGGCCTGATATAGTGTGTAGTGAATAGAATGATATGGAACAGAACAGAATTATTTATTGGCCAAATGTGATTGGGCACAAGGAATTTGTCTCCGGTGCATAAGCTCTCAAAATACATACAAAACAACAAGGAATGTCAGAGATCATACAATCATTAATCATAATATACAACAAGAAGTAATAAACCATAGATAGCAATAGGAGAAGGTAATAGGAAAGATGAGAAGATTAATAATAATGGGTAAATATCTTTAGGCCGGTGCTGTGGGGATTGTCGTTAGCAGTGATGGCACGGGGGTGAGGGGAAAGGAACTATCTTTGTATCTGATTGTTTTGGCATGCAATGCTCTAGCACAGGGGTCCCCAACCACCGGTCCGGGGACCGGTACCGGTCCGTGGAACAATTTCTACCGGGCCACCGGTTTGCTGGGCGCCGCCATCTTGTTTTGATGAAAAAGTGCTTCCGGTGAGCTTTTCCGGGTAGAAAGCGGCGTTTGGGTGCTGAAAGAATCCTTGTGCCTTAGTTTCATCGGGGGTGGTGGTGGCTTCGAACAAAACTAAGGTGTGAGGATTCTTTCAGCACCCAAGGCAAGGCGAGCCGAGTGACCATCCCGAAGCCGTTGCGAAGCCCATCGACACAGGTACAAAGGAGGAATTGAAGGTGGCAGGGAGAAGCGGGGGACGGCTGGCTGGCCAGTCACTTGGCTCGCCTTGCCATGCATGCTGATGCCAATACCGGGCCGCGGATGATTTTGTGATGCCAGTACCGGGCCGCGGCACAAAAAAGGTTGGGGACCACTGCTCTAGCGCAATGTCCAGAGGGGAGAAATTCAAACAGTTTATATCCAGGATCTTTCTGCCCCCTGCAGCATCCAGGCCCTCAGTGGAAGGCAGGCTGGTTGCAATTGTTTTTTCTGCAGTTCTAACTCTCCGTTGAAGTTTGAGACAAACGATCTGAGTTTGTCTGGATTGGTTGCTGTGCCAAACCAGACAGTTACAGAAGAGATTCAAATGACAGGCTCTGTAGAACTGTATCAACAGTTCCTCGGTCAATCTAAGCTTTCTGAGTTGACGCAGGAAGTTTCTCAACCTTTAAGGAGTGGAGACTTCAGCTTCCACAGTTCTGGCTGGGGAGTCCCAGGAGATGAAGTCGACACCTCTGGAAGTTGCCTGAGGTGGAAGAAACTCTGGCCGGGCTCGTGGCTTCCTCTCCAATAATGCCTTTGTTTTCAGCGAGGTCTTCTGCAAAAGCGGGAAGGTGCTGCAGGAGAAGCAACTCCTCCACCTGCCCAAACTGGCCAGCACCTACGAGACCATCGCCAACCAAGGTGCAGACGCCTTCTACACTGGCAGCCTGGCGCAGCAGATGGTGGCTGAGGTCCAAAATGCAGGTGAGCAGCCAACTGCCTGCAAAGCAAGGAGTGAGGCGGTTATGGTTTTCTCTCCTTTGGATCAGTCCAAGCAATCTGGGCAGCCGGTAGAGGCTGGTTTCCTCTTTCACCCTCTGCCTATTCTGCTTGAACAAAACAGCTGGTCCTGCCCTGCTGTGCCGTGTTAAGTCCGGGAGATCGGTCCCGGGTAGATCGGGTCGCATAGAGACGCGAGACTCAAAGTGCACATTCAGCTCTTTATTGAATATACAGTTCGGTGCAGGACCTGTGAACCGCTTGGCTTTATTCAGCCAGCCGGCGGCTCGGCGGCCAATGGCAGCGCTTTGAATTTCCCGCGATCGGCTCGGCCAATCGCGGTAGATTCTTAGCGCACCAATCACAGTTGTTTTAGTTAACCAATCGGGTTGCGGTCCGCGTGGACCAATCAGAACTCAGGATTTGGAGAATGTTAATATAGAACATGCCTCATCCTGGGACTGTTAGTTCTGAGCGGGGATTGCATCCTTGCACTCAGGGTCAGGTCTACCCCGCGGAAAGGTCTGCATACACACAACAAGCTCCCTCCTTCGGGGGGGGGGAGCGCATTTTCTGCTACCCACTTAGCAAAACTTGTTCCATGGCATATAATCAGTAGGGATATTTGCTTCAAAAGAGCTGGTGGTGTCTCAAAGCCCACCGAAGACCCTATCAAGTAGCCTGTCTGTGTGTGTGTGGTGTGGGGAGACTCTGCAAAGATGGCCTCGCCACAGAATTGCAATGGACTGTGTGGGTGACCTTGGGGGACAAGGGGGAAGAGAAGCTGCCAAGGAAGCAACCAGACAAGAGAGATGGGAGTCCCCAGGGCCAAACGGACAGAAAAAGAACCTTAGAAACGGGTCTGCACCAATGGTGGGATTCAATTTTTTTTTTACTACTGGTTCTGTGGGTGTGGCTTGGTGGGTGTGCCTTGGTTGGCATGGCAGGGGAAGGAGACTGCAAAATCCCCATTCCCTCCCCACCCCACTGGCCTGCTTTCCAGCTCTGTTCTCCTGGGCAGGGCAACAGGAGACCCAGCCGATCCGCTGGGACTCAATGGGAGGCAGAGAAGGGATGGGGTTGGCGGGGCCAGTCAGAGGTGGGATTGGCCGGTTCTCAGAGCTACTCAAAATTTCCGCTAGAGAACCGGTCAGAACCGGCTAAAGACCACACCTCTGATCTGCACCAACGGATCAAGTACTTTTGTGCCAGAGGGAAGTTTGTATCTTCAGACTTGCGAGATTTTGTTCATGCAGCCTTACGGTAAAGGAGCTTTAGCTCACCTGGTTGGGTTTCTTGTCTGGTTTTCTGGCTGACAAGCGCCCAGTGTTTTGGGGCCAAAGGATGTTGCTGAGTTGCAGAATTCTTGGGTGAACCAATGGTGGGGAAGATGGCTGGCAGCCACAGAAGAGCCAGGCCTTGTAGGTGAGGGACGTTGTGGCAGACATAAGAATCCAGGAGTGATCACATTTACGCCATTTAAGATTGTAATTCCCTGTGGAAATCGTCCTAAATGCCATAGCTGAAAGAGGAAAATGCCTGGTTTTGCAGGGAGGGATGCAGGCAGTTAACATCTTTGGTGCCGATTGGTGGTCCTGCCATCAACTCTTCTGGGCAGCCCCTTTGGGGAGGAGGTTCTGTGCACTTTAGCTCTTGCTTCCAAGAATTGGAGGTGGAAAGAGGGTCTTGAGATGGCATTCAGAGACCCACTTCAGATACCTATAGATGAACTTAAGAAACGTTGTTCAGAAACTGGCTGTGAATTGGAAAGGAAGGCTCCTGGCTTGGAGCATCAAATCACTTTGGAGAGAGCAGGTCAGCTCACTCCTTTAACCTCAAACTATCCACTATTGACCTCACCCCATTCCTAAGAGGTCTGTAAGGGGCGTGCATAAGCGTACCATTGTGCCTACCGTCCCTGTCCTATTGTCCCCATTTATTCGTACCTATTTCCTGTATTCTTACTCGTGTTTATACTTATACCTATTATCTTGTAAGAGATTGACAAATCAAATAAATCAAAGCAATAAAATAATAAAATAGAAGTCAGGGTCCATGGGGCATCTGAACTGTAGCCGTAGCTTTCTGATACGGGGCAGGGAGGGGGCAGTGCTCGCTGTCCCTCTAACTCAGATAATCCCAGATCATCGATCCTCCTTGGAGAAGCCAGACTGGTTTGTGGAGCCCTCCAAACCTCAAAGCACATCTTAGTAACTTAGAAAGCTGATATTTGGCCACGGCAGCTTGGAAACGAGAACCTATTGGCTGAGAGTCAGAAGCATTCAGGAGAGTTTTAGAAAATATGTGTCTCCCAGAGCGGGTGCCAACTTGGCCAACTCTTTCCCTCTCTGGGGGAGGTGAGGGCTGGCATGAGCCCCTTTGCAGCCCTCAGAAAGGGCTCCACCCGCTTTCGGACTCATCCGCCAAATAGAGCATTAAAAATACACACAATATCAGTTCAGCAATACAAATCAAGCCAGAATTAAAACTAACCCAAGTTAAGAGCGGGTAAAGCTTAGAAGATGTGCTTTTATGGTTAAATATCCCCCTTTATCTGGGTGCCATGTGGGTGACTTCCCCCCGCCCCGCCCCGTGAGCAAAACGGGGCTCCTGGCAGTGGGAGAAGCAGAACTGGGGATTTGTCCGTCGTCTCTAAATGGCCCAGTTTATTTATTTATTTATTTATTTGTCAATTGTTTACGAGATAAGTAAAAGTGTATACATAATTATGAATACATGAAATGAGTACATATAAGAAAAATAAAAGAAAAATAAAAGAAACAATTGCCAGGGTTACCTTCCTTTCTGTTCCAGGAGGGATCCTTACCCTGGAGGACCTGAGGGATTACCGACCAACCCTGGAAGAACATCCTTTAAAAGTGCAACTTGGCCAGTTCAGCATGTATGTGCCCAACGCACCTTTAAGCGGTCCTGTGCTGGCCCTGATCCTCAACATCCTGAAAGGTCAGGATTCTTCCATCTCTCTTTACTACTTACAAGGTTTCATTGGGACATTCGCTTTTCAGGAAGGTTGCAAAATCGTCCCCCACGACCGGAATGTCAACTCTGCTTCAGCAGCTTAATGGGGGGAGGTGGGTGGGCAGAGAGATGGGACTATGAGCTATGAAAAATGCTGCCGCGGGATCTCTCCAAACAGGGGCACCCCCATGGTTTCAGCCCAGGGGTCCCTCGATTCCACTCCTCTGATCCGGGGGCCGGCAGTTCTCTTTGGCTGAACTGCTTTGGACAGTTTTGAGGGTGTCCCTTAACTGGATGGACTTCCAGGTATTTTAAAATGGCCTCCCTGTCAACCTTCTCTCCCCGGCAGGTGCTCTTTCCTCTTCCACCTGGGCCGCTCAAGGGCATCATCCACGGGGAGCCAAGCAGGCCTTTGGTCTCTGCTAAGGGGCTCGGCTCTCCCAGCCCCTCCTGGGGCAGTGGGTGGGGGGGCTGAGGACAAGGACCTCAAGATTTGAAATGCAGGACAAAGTTGGGGGGATGGTTAGGAGGGGACTGAGCCTAACAGGTTTCTGGGGGCTGCCACCAGAAATCTCCCCCTCCCCAAAGAGCTCATGGTGGAAACTGTGTGTGCCAGTGAAAGATGGGGTGGGTAGGGGGGCACTTGATGCATTTGGCAGCTGCCAGGCAAGGTGTCCTTCCTCACCTGCCTTGAGGGCATTTTCACTGCCAGCCTCGTCACTTTTCCTTGTTCCCTTTATGGGTTTTACCTTTGATCTTTACCTTTGATCTTTGTGTGGAACGTTGGTTTGTGTTAAGTTTTAATTGCATTTTTATTTTTTATTTTATTTTTTTTAAAATAGATTTTATTGAATTTACAATTTAAAAACACATCGACAATACATTTACAAAATAGAAAGAAAAACGGCTAGGGGGAAAGAAGGAAAACACCCGGCCTAACACACCGGATAAAGGCCGGTTGGGGGGAAGAGAAAGGATATAGAGGGAGAGAGGGGAAGGGAAGGGGAGGGAGAATAGGGTAGAAAATACAATTAAAAACAAATGATATCTTTTTGTGACAGTCTGTAAGGATCATTTCTCTTCGTCATATCCAATCTACTCCTCTTTTCCATTATGTTTAAGTTACTTTTTATCATTTTTATTATAACTTTAGATGGCCTTGATGGTTTTTCAAAGCTACTCCTCCCCCCCCCCCCAAGGCAGAAACAGAGAAAAGAAGCAAATCGCACGAACCAAATTATTTGGCATTTTTTGGCACGTCTGTTTGGGAGCTTTACCTAAAGGCATTGCATCGTTTTGGCTGCTTAAATCATGCCGATCGGGGAGAAATGGTACAAGTGAAAGTGATGCTTCAAGAGGTTTCTACCCCTCGACCTCTTGAAACCTCCCAGACCCCCCCCCCATTTGAGAAATGTTCCAATTCCAGGGGGGGATATTGCTCGATTCCGTCTATCTTGCGCCCCCCCCGCCCCCGGCTCTTCCCCTGGATTTCTTCAGAAATCTTTTGCAAGGTGTGGTGCATATACAGCAGAGCCTGGCATTCCTCAGTGGGCTCCCCTGCTGGCCTTGGAGGTTCAAGCCCCTCACATCCATCTGTCTTCACCTCCTTCCCGCGTCTTGCCCCACCCCAAAGCTCTTTTACCCCCTTGTGCTTTTATCCCCACCTCAAGATGGGCTGTGCGCCGCTCGGTTTCTGTTCTGTGCTGAGCCTCTGGCATTTCCTTCCGTGTCGCAGGCGTCCTTCCCCCTTGCCACGTTCCACTTACCCCCTACGGCAACCAACCTCCACATTCACCCAAAACATTCCATAATTCACCTGTGTTGTGTATCGTTTTCTAAATCAAAGAAGGTGTAACAAACATGTTTGTCTTCTTTAGTGAATGTAAGGCAGCAACCACACTGCACTTCCCAAATGTTGTTCCTTTCTACCTGTGCTTTTTCAGGCCAGAGGCCTCACAAATCCACCTTTGTACCCACTGTTGCTACTTTACACTTCCTGTCAGGGATGAATGAAAACAACTCCCAGCTACGGCTCCAATCTGGTGTTGCAGCAGGAATTGTGAGTCCAGGAAAACCCCAAGTCACTAATACACGGGTTTCCAGCATTTCCCCAGGTTTCCCCAATGACTACTGGGACGCTCCTCTTCAACCTTTCCCTCCCCACCCCTCTTCCTCATCCGGGTTTGTTTCAGACCATCCTTGCCACAACCATCATTTCCTACCATCTCATGGAAAACTTGCATCAACTTACTGTCTTCATCCAAGTTTGAGCTACCAATGGCAGCCCTTGGTTGGTCTGACCTCTGGCTTTGGCGACCAATGGACCCTGACATGCCTGATGTTTGTGCTTGACCTCCCGGCAGGCTTCCGGTTCTCTAAGAGTAGCACCGGGACTCCGGAAGAGAAGGGCTGGATGTACCACTGCATCTTGGAGGCTTTCCGTTTCGCCTACGCCAAGAGGAGCTTGCTCGGGGACCCTGCGTTTGTCAACCTGACGGAGGTAGCGCCATGCCTTCCTCTGCTCCTTTGCCTCCTTCCTACCCTCCTCCCGGCCAAACAGAGCCAAGTGGGGCTCCTGAGCTGAGAGACAAGCTGGCCATCAGATCAGTTGCTTGGGAAAGACCCAAGGAAGGCCATCGGCCTCTTGAATTATCGCTTGCCTTTTCCTGTAGGATTTCTCTTCCGTTCTTCCATCTAGGTGATCAGAAACCTGACCTCAGAATCCTTGGCCGACAGCTTGCGGGGCAAAATCACCGACACGACCCATAACATCAGCTATTATGAACCAGATTACTACACTCCGGAAGACGCTGGGACATCCCACGTCTCCGTCGTGGCTGAGGATGGCAGTGCGGTGTCGGCCACCAGCACCATCAACCACTAGTGAGGCTCTAGGACGGAGCGGCGGCTGGAGACGGGCTCAGTCAGGCTGCCCTTCCCAGCAGGGTCAGGGCTGAGGGGTTCTGGGAGGACCCTCCTCCAAATCGTGGCTTTTCCTCCACAAGCTCCAGGCTCCCGAAGCCGAGGAAGGGGAGCGGGCCCCGGAGGCTGGAGAGAAGCCAAGGGAACTGGCCCCATAGCACCTGGATGATTGCCCACCCAAATCTTGATCCCAGCACTGATCTTTCTGGATGGCATTGGAGTCTCTGTGTGTGTGTGTGTTTGTGTGCGTGTGTGCGTGTGCGTATGCACGGAGTGTCGTTCTGTTGTGTTGCTTTGTTGGCAGAGCTAGTTGTCTTTGTTTTTTTCCAAAGAGCCCCCAACCAGAGCTGGAGGGCGTCCATCTTTGCTTGCCACCCGCCTTACTGGCTAAGCAGCTAACACTGCCCACCTCCTCACAGTCGCGCTTTATGGTGCCAGCCACCTGCCATTCCTCCCTACTGTCTTTCCCCTGCCCCCCCCTTTTGCACTGGCTGGGGCTGCATGACAGTCTCCTTCCCCGGTTATGTTCTGGCACCGCCCCAGCCCTCTGCTGCCTCCCTTCCCCTTCTGGACAAACCCTGAAGTAGGGGAGCACCTGCACCCCCCAGCCTCGCTTGTGGGGGAGAAGCTCTCCTCCAAACTGCTTCTGGGAGGAGGGCTGGCGATGCCCGGGGTCTGGGACCTTGGAGCTCCAGCCATTCCAGGAACGGGGGGCAGGAAATCTGGGTGCAAAGAGGAGCCACTGGGTTGCCGAACGGACCCCGTTTCTCTCGCCCGCCTCTGCAGCTTCGGCTCCGACCTCCGTTCCCCTGTGACTGGCATCATCTTCAACGACGAGATGGACGACTTCAGCTCCCCCCACATATTGAATGGGTTTGGGGTGCCCCCCTCGGTGGCCAACTTCATTGCCCCAGGTAAGGCTTTGCTCTTCTCCAAACCCTCCGCCCCCCGTCCAGGCCCCTCTCTGGGGAGGGTCTCCTCCAGGCAGCCCCTGCCTTCCCCCTCCCTGTTCGGCTCTTGTGTCTCTGCGGCCGTGGAAGGAGCATGGAAAGGCCTCTGCTGCCTCCGGGGGGTGGGCCAGGCCGAGCGGGCCGCCATTTCCCTTCTCCCAAGGGGGTCGTGGGTGGTCAAAAAAATCAAGATGGCAGCCACATCCTTTTGTGTGAAGCTTGGCTTAGGTTGCCTTTTTCGTCCGTCCCCTGCAGAGACCCTTCTCTGGGGTCTTAGCCCTAGCTCATTTTCTAAATAAACTTTTATTAAAGTTTTACAAAACACATTAAAAACTAGCACAAACTAATAAAGGGCAGTGGATGGAAAAAGGAAAGAAGGAAGGAAAATTTCCAATTTCTTTTGCAGCAATTATACATACAATTAAAACAAATCTCTCTTACCCTACGATTACAAAAAAAACCCAATAATTCTAATTCTTATAACCACAAATCATAAGTGTCTTTTTTCTGTTTCATGCAAAATTCTACGGGGTGTTTCCAGTCAACCATAAGTGTCGATGTTGCCTTTTCTATGCAACTTCTAATTTTCATCTCCCTCCATCAACCTTCCTCTACTGTGGGTAAAATTGAGCCTTCCCTCTTTGGACCATGTAATAATCTCACTGCAGTTACATATAAAACATAAATTCCATGACTTTCTAGTTGCTTGCCCGTAAGTCTCAAAAGAAAAGTATCTGGCTTCAATTGTACTTATTCTAGTACATCTTGGTAGGTGATCCATTTATGTTTACTTATAATATCAGGTCTATTAAATGCTTCATGTGCTGAAAACCACAAAGGCATTTTGGAAGAAAACCTAAATTGATATTTATTCCATACAAATAGGTCATCTATCATAGTCTTGTAACTATCTATTTTTATTAATATATTTGTGTGGGGTTTTTAAAATTAATCATCCAAATTCTTTTCATTTCTTTATTCAAAGTTCAGGTCCCCGTGAAGAATCTGTCCAAATCAAAACCAAGCCATCTGCAACAACTCTTAACTTTTTGACTCCTTCTTCATCTTCAAACCCATGAGCCTCTCATCTTGGCTTATGTCTATTTTGTATTTCAAGGCCAAAAAAACCTCATATGGTTTAGCTAAATCTTCATTAGTGATAATTTGGTCTGTCTGCGAAATATAAATTCTTTCCAAAATTCATTATCTTCCAAAACCTTCAATAAAAATAGTTTAGTTCAAGTGACCAAAAGTCTTCTCTGCATCAAAAAAGACCAAGGCGTGTTGCCCAATAGTCTCAAAAAAAAAAAAAGTATCTGGCTTTTATTAGGTTGTTCATATATTCCAAAATATCCAACCCAGTTGTAATGTTATCTTTCAATCATCTTTTAGTAGAAACCCACATTTACCCCCATGAATGAATTCTTGCACAATTATTTTCAGTCTTTCCGCTAAAATAATTGTGAACAACTTATAATCTATTCATTTGCTTGTTTGTTTATTTATGCATTTATTTGTTTATTTATTTATTTAATCAATCGATTGTTCACCCATCTTGCTTTGAGATAACGCAAGGTCATTCATTAATGATTTTGGTCTGTAATTTCTTATCGAAGTCCATTTTTGTCCTTATTGAGCTGTTAATGTTATCCCGGCCTCTTTCCAAGTCCCTGGAATCCTTCCCCCCTGCAGAGCAGAGTTCCTTGGGCTCTGCAAAGGTTATCAAAGTTCTTCCTTGAACCACCCATCCCTGGGGAGGAATGCAGTCTGGTTTCCCAGCTGGGAGGGGCCACGTTCCAGGCCGAGCAGAGAGAGGTTGAGCGGGAAGAAGAGAGATTGAAGGGAGCAGCGCCTTTTTCCCTGGAAGTTCCCGGGAAGGTCTCTTGAATGGTGCAATGGGTTGCCGGCAATATTTATTTATTGAGTCATTGAATTTATAGGCTGCCCATCTTACCTGTCTAGAGTTGAGGAACAATAAACAGAGCTGCTTAGAAGAACCTCAGCGGCTTCTGGTTGGTTTCTGGAGCCTGACAATGATAATAGCCTGGGGGCTCCTTTTTCCCTGGTTTGCCCTTTGAGATTGATTCTGAGACTTCATTATATTATTTATTATTCATTATATTATATATTATTCATTATAGCAATAGCCCTTGGACTCATATGTGCTTCCCAGTGCTTCCCAGCCCTCTCTAAGCAGTTCGCAGAGTCGGCATATTTGCCCCTAACAATCTGGGTCCTCCTTTGACCCGCCTCGGAAGGAGGGAAGGCCGAGTCGACCTGGAGTCAGGATCGAACTGCCAAACTGCAGCCAGCAGTCGGCAGAAGTAGCCTGCAGTACTGCTTTCTAACCACTGTGCCACCATGGCTCATACATAAATTTCCTTTGTTCACCTTTCGCTTCCTGAGACATTCATCTATTTTCTCTAACCTTTTATACCAATTAGAGTAATACTGGTCGAAAAAAAACACATGGATGTTCTCAGCCCAGACGTTTTCTTTCAGGCATTCACTGCCGAATTGAGCCACGTTCCAAGGTTTATTTTTTTTCCTTATCTCCCCCCCCCCCCAATTAATTCCTTTCCAGATATTTTTTTCTCTTCCCAGTATTCTGGCAATGGTTGGTTTTCACAAGTGCCTTTGCTTTGGTCTTTGCTTGGCATTTCAGAAGGCCTCAACCCCACCTAGAGCAGACTCCCAACTGAGCCCTCCAAGCGCTGCATCAGGACCCCTGGACACACAGACCAACCCCCTTTCCATGCCCCCTTTCTCCCTCTAGCAGGGGAACCGTGTCTTCTTCCTTTACGGCAGTGGAGAGCAACGGCTTCCTTGTGTTGTGATGACCCAAGTTGTGTGGCTTACAAAACAAAGGGACCCCACTTGTATCTGAGGCTCACCGTGAATTTGCCTAGAAAGCAGTTTGCCAAGGGGAAGGTTGTGGGAAGGGCCTCTCCCTGTTTCTCCCAGGAGTCAGTGCTCAGAATATTTCTCCCTCGAGCCTGTGCGATCAGCTCTTACCCAATCCCCCAACCCCCATTGCATCAGAATCTGGGGGGGGACAGCGGGCAGAGGAGGTGGAGCCCCGTCCGCTTAATTCAGCCATGGTCCCTGCCATCCAAGAAGCCTTCTTTGGGGGCTTGCCCAAGAGGATCTCTGTTGCAGGTCTGAGAGAAAGAGAGGTCTGTAAAAACACCGCAAGGACTCGGTCAAGGATGGTGAAATGTGGCCGTTCCTGCAAGGAGAAGCTAATTTGTAAGACGCTGGTTGGCCAACCCCTCCCATGTACTCTCACCTGTACAGGAGCAAAGGAAGGGCTAATGGGAACCAGCCCATAGTTCACAGGATATTTACTACTGCAACTATACTGGCTAGTGGTTTAAGTGGCATGTTCGAGGATCGTGTCCAGCAATGCATCTCACCTGGCTCCATCCCCAACAGGTAAACAACCTTTCTCATCCATGTGTCCGACTATCCTGGTGGATGAGAAGAACAAAGTCAGGATGGTGGTCGGTGCTTCTGGAGGGACAAAAATCACAACAGCAACAGCCTTGGTGGGTCATGCTGGGTAGGCTGAGGGATGCTTCTGGAGACCATCTCGTCTTGCTCTTTCAAGAAACCCTCAAACCCCGTAGATTCTCTCTTGAGTGGGGACAAGCAGGACCCCAGGGCAATTTGTGGGCATCTCCCTCTATGACTCCGTTTCTGCTCTGGGGCTAGCAACGTGCCCGCCAGGACCAGAGATTTTCATAGGTCAGCTATGGAGGACCCCTAAGGTGGGCCTGGCAATAGGAGAGAAGGTTAGCTGAGGTCTCAAATGGGGTCGAATAGATCCAGTGAAGGGGATCCACGCGATGCTTGAGAGAAAGAGAGACAAGAGGCTTCCAAAGGAAATCTCACCAGGTTTTCTATTCAGGCTCCTGAATGGACTATCTTCGAAGCCCTCCTAGATTTTGCCTTTCTGGGGGGGAAAAAAGACATTGAACCCCATAGTTACATCAATTTTGTTCTCTTTGCCATAGAATGAATATCTGTGTTCGGGTTTAGCTGCAGCTGTGGATTGGGGTAGTTGAAAGGAAGATGGAGAGGAAAGATTGACAGGTGTTGATCATCTAAAGTTACATTTGGATTTGAAAGCCCCCCAAAATTTACCATTTGAATTGTAGACCTTGAAAAACAAACTTTCAATTCACCCAAAGTTGAAACTCCTAGGGGGCATTGAGCTTTCCATTCTTATCTGTCTCACCCTCGATCTCTTAGGGGAAACAGTTGTTGGTTAAAGCAGCGATCAAGTACATCTCAAAGCTCCTTGGCAAGGCAGACATTTTACGGAGCAGCTAAAGCCCCTCTGTCTCTTCCAACTCATCCTGGATTCATGGAGCTCTGCAAAGAACATCAGCTTCAATCCTGCCAGGAGATGCTTGGAGACCTAATCCTACACCTCTTCTTTTGTGCAGACCATCATCAATGCCTTGTGGCTTGGCTATGATGTGAAGGCTGCTGTGGAAGAGCCACGAGTTCATAACCAGTTGCTCCCCCCGGTTACACTTCTGGAGAAGGATATAAAAAAGGTCTGTTTTAATAACCGAAGGAGCCGGGTTGGGGCGCAAAGGGGGTCAAGAGTGGAAGGTTGGAGTGTCTTCCTCACCTCTGTCGCACTGTTGTGCACTTAGGCTGCTGGGGAACCAGACGGCTATGACTCTGTGAAACACATGCGGAGTCTCAGGTTGGGTGAAGTGGCTCCCTTTAGCTCAAGGTGCCTTCCGAGTGGTAGTGTTGTCCAATAGCGTCGTCAGCTAAAGCTGACACGTATCTTGTGACAGAACATCCCGGACACCATAGCTGGGAGGCGGCTGGCTCTTGGCTGAGCACGATGAACTCTGGCCCACAAGGCAAAAGAATCTGATATAAGAAAATGCTTTGGGATCCCTTGACGGTAACTGCGTAACCTGGTTTTCCCTTCCCGCGTCTAGGAAATCGAAGAAGACCTGGTGAAAAGGAAACACGAGGTCAAGAGGACCAACGAGGGTGCTGTGGTGCAGGCCATTCTCTGGACTGAAAATGGTTGGGCTGCAGCCTCCGATTCCCGGAAGGGGGGCTTTCCAGCGGGATACTGAGCTGGCCAGCTACCCGTTGCTCAGAAGGTCTGAGCTTGATTGACTCACCTCTTTCGACAGATCTCTGGTGCCAGTGATTCTGTGTGTCACCAATGTGGGGTGTGGGGTAGATTTATAATGTACATAGATAAGGAGATGACCATGGGACAATTGGGCACTGCTTCACTGACAAACACTATTGATGTAGAGATATGGGGGTGGGTGGTGGGTGGGATCCAGCTCTTGGCACCAGCTTGGCCTGGGCATTCCTTAAGGATTCACAGAATGCTGCCGTTCGTTCTTTCCTTGGTGGATCCCCTGCTGAATGCAGGAATTGCTATCAAGGCCTCCTGGAGAAAGCCAGACAACTCAAAGTGGGTGGCTTCTGTGTCTCTGCCAGCAGAAAAGGCATCCTGGTGGCTTCCACTGGCCTCTCCCAGATGGGTCGGCAGGTGGTGCTCTACAGAAACGGATGGCCTCCTCGTGGGCTGTCAGCAAACACACGGGTGTTTTGTCCGGGTGCAAGGAAACCTGGTCACTTTCTGACCCAGCTTCAGAAGACAAGCGGAGGAATGTGAGAAGACTTGGGCCTTGGGAGCCAGAGAGAGATCTCTCCCCCTTTTACCAGCCATTCCCCCACCCCAGCTACTGTTCGGGCTGATCCACCCTCCCACAAGCCAGAGTGGCCTGGAAGGCAGCTCCCACGGAGCTGGGGGGGCAGGGGGGGCTGCACTCTAAAGAGCCAGGCTATTCCCAGTGCAAGGCATCGCCCACTCCCAGGAGAAGCCGAAGGGTTGGTGGGATACCAACCAAGATGGAGCCAGGGTCAAAAAGAAAATGACTTCAAAATAGCTAAATACAGCGAGGCTGTTTGTAATATTTTCATTCCTTTCTCAAGTCTCGTGCCCAGATATCATAACCAAATGATTACTTCCCGTCATTGAGAAAACTGTACTGTTCATTCAGCCTAAAACTGCATGTCTTTTATTTGCAGTCCAGTCAGGCTTGTTCAGGTTCTAGTCAAGCTTCAACATCTTTTTGGCAAGTCTGTGGCCAACTAGGCATTTCCCCATCCTATGCTAGGTATTTGATGGATCATTTTTTAAGTAAGGAGCTTCGTTTCTTTCAAAAAGTTTTTGTGCATCCTTATCACTCTTCCTGCCACTGCTTCGCCATTAGTCAGATAAACTGGGAGGTCCAGTTGGGAAAATCACTTGACCTGTCACTTAACAATGCCTCTCTCCCGTGTGATGAATGATACGGTGTGTCAGTCTTGCCCCAGCTAGGTCTCAGGGAAAGAAAGACTATCGACTCCATTTGGTCGAAGTGATAGGTTCTTTTACTAAGCTCTTTTACTAAGGATGGCAGAGTTGACCCTGTGATTTGTTTTTCACATCGCGTAGCTCATATTTAATTCTCCTCCTCCTCCTCAAAAATGAGGTGAGGTTAATTCAGAATTTTCTTCAGAAGAAAGCTTGCGGAAGATAATCCAAATCCGTGGAATTTGGCTTGGTCAATAAAACAAGGGAAGTTTCTTCAGTTACGTGGAAGAGGCCATAAATTGTGTGGCTGTGCAGGAGACGGGCCATCCGTTTCTTTCGATTACAGGGTTTCTCGTGGTCTCAATTTTATCCTTCGGCATCAGGATGGGCAGTCTTCTAGAATCTGGGCTTTCTAGATCCTCAGCACCCATTTTAGAATCCAGAAAACCAATAAAGAAAATGAGCGCAATCCAGGCGCCTCCCAGCACCTGAATGGGTTGAGATGTATGTGGAACCAAGACAATGAGTTGGAGCCCCAGAGAGTTCGCTGCCCATTGCTCCCCCCCTGCCAGCTTGGTGTCCCACTGAGACGCACCAGATCGCTTGCCCAAAGGGGCCGAAGGAAAAATAGCCCATGTTGCACTGCTGTCCCCGAGGCTCCTTTGGAAAGGGAGGGTGGCTGGGATGGGCCTGTCAAGGCGCTGCGACCAAAGAAAGTGGGGAGAAAAATGAAAACCCTCCGGAAACAAATCTCTACCTAAAACAACACGTCTCTGGGTTGGGAGGCTTTGAAAAGAAAAAGGCAAAGCCATGAGATTTGAAAAGAAACAGACCTGCAAACCATTTTGTGAAAATATAAAATGTAAACGTTTTATAGAAACAAATGCGCGCGTGAAGAAATAAAACTTTTAAAAAGCCCATCATCCAGCATGATCCCATTCCTAGTGGAATTCCCCCAATTCCTTGCCCCCCCCGACCCCTCCCCCCATGGTAACCATCAGCAGGTGGGGGGGGGACACACAACAGTCCGTAACTTTCACTTTCAGCCAGAAGAAGGAGGAGGAGGAGGAGGAGGAGGAGGAGGAGGAGGAAAGCTCCTGCCGGTGGCTTTGGCTCTGAGGCGTCCCGGGTGGGTCGGAGGGCAAAGCTCAGGGCATCCATCAGCCGCCCCAGCTTGAAACGAAAGGGAACAGCATGAAAGGTGAACGGCTCCTGGGTTCCGCAGGGTTTTCCAGCTTGGCCGCAGGCCCTCCCGCTTCCTTAGGCTGGTTGGCTTGCCCTGAGCTTGAAGGGTTTCCGTCACACCGGCTGCAGCGTGTCTGCTTTCTCTGGGTAACTCGCTCTGTGGTGTAGAAGGGGATTTCCAGGAGAACCGCGGCTCCCTAACAAATGCCAAAGGCCGCGTTTTTCCTCGGCTTCCATCCGCCACGGACACTCTGAGGGCATTATCTCAGCCCAGAGGAGAGGCCGCTCCAGCAAGGCTCAGCCCAACACACCTTTTCCTCCGGTTCGGGACTGACGAGAGACAGAGGTGTGTGGCTCAAGTCCTCATTTTCCACAGGACGAAGGTCTCGGGTGTGTGTGTGGACATAAAGTCAGGGTGGGATTATTCAGCTGGTACAGGACGGCAATTCGTTCACCCTGCCCACCCGCTCCTGCCCTAGTCTATCCTTTATTTCCTTGTTTTGAAAGCCCAGCTGATCCGCACGGCAGGGCAGATGGCCGTGCCTCAGCTGTTTCACTCACCGGGGCTTTTAGTTTTAGCTGAAAATGGCTGTTGGAATCCCACCACTGCAGTTGTAGTTGCAGCAAGAAGTTACACCTGACGGAGGAGCAATGGAGAACTCAGTTTGGGCTCTGTGTGTGTGTGTGTGTGTGTGTGTGTGTGTGTGTGTGTGTGGTTTGCCTAGGAATGCATCCAAAGTTCCTTGCAGCAGCCTCTGCAGAGGCCGATGGCGGAAGCGCCAGAGAAGAAGACCAGGTTGCCGCAGAGTTTAGCAGAGCTTCTTCCGGCTTCTAGTAGCCTGAGGCTTCTCCTTGCTTCCTCCAATCAGAATAAGGGAAGATACAGGAGTCCTCCTGGGAGATGCCCTGCACCACATTCATGACGTACGATGGGGTGTTGACTGAGTGCCCCATGGTGATCAAAGCCGCCGTGAGGTTCTGCAGAGGAAAATAAAAGTGCTGGTAAACCCCACATGCCCCCTTCAAAGGCCTCCCACACAGTTCGGTGGGCCATCCTGTTAGGAAGGTGGCCTGGGAAGAGGCAGCCCGGATGGCTTCTCCACTCCTCTACTCGTTGCAGAATACCTTATGCCACTAGACTCGAAATTCTAGACCTAGAAAACCTAGAACTACGCTGCCTTCGGTCCGATCTAAGCATAGTATATAAAATCATACATTGCAATGTCCTACCTGTCGATGAATACTTCAGCTTCAACCATAACAACACAAGAGCACACTATAGATACAAACTCAAGGTTAACCGCACCAAACTTGATTGCAGGAAATACTACTTTAGCAACAGAGTGGTCAATGTCTGGAATACTCTACCTGACTCTGTGGTTTCTTCCCCAAACCCCCAAAACTTTAACCTTAGACTGTCTACTATTGACCTCACCCCTTTCCTAAGAGGTCTGTAGGGGCGTGCATAAGCGCACCAATCGTGCCTACCGTCCCTGTCCTATTGTTTCTTTATTTTTCTTATATGTATCCATGTCTTCATAACTATGTTTTTACTTATACCTATTATCTTGTAAGCAATTGACAAAAATAAATAAAATAAATAAAAATAAAGGCCCTGCAGGAGAAGGCTGGGTCCCAGGCAGATGCAGATCGGGCTGCTCTAATTCACGCTAGACGGGCCTCCTTCTCTCTCCTTCCCACAGGACAGGACCAGAGCGAGGGACTAAAACTAGCAGGCTCAGGTCAGGCATAGGAGGAGCTTCCTGACGGCACAAGCTGTAAGCCAGAGGAACAGGCTGACCACCACAAAGGGGTGAATTCAGGGGTCTTCAGGGACTAGGTGACTGACAAACCCACCGTGGTGAATCCCGGAATCAGGACTTGGACCGTCTAAAGCAGGGGTGTCCAACCTTGGCAACTTTAAGACTTGTGGACTTCAACTCCCACAATTCCTCAGCCAGCAAAGCTGAAGTCCACAAGTCTTAAAGTTGCCAAGGTTGGACACCCCTAGTCTAAAGTCTGAGTTTGGGAAGATCAGCTGGGCAGGAAGAGACTGTGCAGAGTTGTCCAAAGTACCTCAACATTTGTGAGGTTATTGGGGACTTTTCCATCCAAGGACTAGAGAAGGGTTCTACTGTGAAAAGAAGATTGTTTTCACCCAGCCTCGCTACTGTGAACATCTGTGTGGGACACAAGTTCCCCACCACCAGCTTAAGGGAGGGAGGGGGAAGACGGAGAGAGAGAAGAACCCGGCCAGCGTCTCACCTGCGGAAATTGCTTCTCCACTTGAATGGAGCCATCTCCAGAGGCGGCGAGGATGGGCGCTTCAATGGCTCGATCCAGATTGTATCCAAACCATAATTTATTGACGAGGGCCTGCAAACACAGAGTCCTTTGATAAACCCACGAAAGAGACGCCTGGCCAGAGCATCCTCACGGAAGCTGAGGAACAGTCGTGGGGAGCAATTCAGGAGATATAATTTACATTATATCAAGATAAGTCTTATTGGCCCCAAGCTCTCTCTTTGCTTGAAAGGTCATGTCTCTCCAGCCACGGAAGGTCAAATGCTTCTTGCCCCTTTCTCCCCCAGCCGTTTGCATTTCCCTGCGGCTGGAAGGGATTTGATGGCGTAGAAACTTGACTGCAACTTGACTCTTCGTGCGAAAGGGTTTCCCCCTGGCCACAGGAGATGAAGAGCCTCTTCCAGGAAAATCAGAGGAACGGGAAAAGAGGCTGCAGAACAAGACTTTGAGCTGGACTCTGCAGGGTTAATGGAAGTCCTGGGCCATCCTCAAAGGGGTGGGGGTCTTGTACTAGACCGTGGGCTTTCATGGCTTACCTGGGCTACAGCAGCGATAATGAGAGGCCCACCTGAGCCCCCTATTATCAGCTTGGACTTCCCATCTTTGGAAAGAAGAATGGACGGTGCCATGGAAGAGGGAGGCATCTCTCCTGGGGGGGACGGGGACAACAGGAGAAAGTGTTAGCTGAGAGAAGAGAAGCTTTATAGCGCCAGGTTGAACTTGGCTGTTTTCTTGCAAACGTTTTATTACCAAACGGAGAGTCACATCGCCATCAGGTAATGAAATGTCTGCAATAAATCAAACAAGCTCAGAGACCACCAAGGACTCCAAAGTAATAGTTGCCTACAGGATCCATCTCTTAGGAAACCCCCAAACCCATGCGTTAGGGAGCACCATGCTCAGCCATTCCAGCTTCTGAGGAAGACCCAGTGAGCTCAGGGGGACTCTTTGGGGGTGGGGGTAGGGGGTGGCCCTTACCTGGAGAAATGCTTTTGCTAGAGCGCTTCATGCAAAAATCAGCCAGCTCGTTGTTTAAGATGATTCCAGTTTGCTGCGAATAGACCATTGAGCCAAACCTAAGCGCAGAGAACAGGGTCAGGAACATTGCATTGACCAAGAGGCTGCTGTGAATATGGCTAAGTGGCCTCAGGCAGCCTCTCTGAAGGGGGCTCCAGGGGCCCCTGCTAGTATCTTATCTACCTCCTGGAAGAGAGATGCGCAGGCCCTGCCAGGATCATAAGCCCCAGAGGCCTCCTCTGGACGTCTGATGGGGATGCTGCTTTGGCTAGCCTATAAAAGAGCCGCCTCTTATGGCCCTAGACCTCATGACGAGGAAAGCAGCCGCAGGAGACTAGTAGGAAGAGATTCTCCCGGCCCCTCTCTGCTGAACAGAACAGGGGAAGACAACCCTTTCCGATAGATTTCTCCTGCCCCAAACTATTTCCATTAAAACTATTTAAGAGCCACGGTGGCACAGTAGTTAGAATGCAGTATTGCAGGCTCATTCTGCCGACTGCCAGCAGTTTGATCCTGATCAGCTCAAGGTTGACTCAGCCTTCCATCCTTCTGAGGTCAGTAAAATGAGGACCCAGATGGTTGGGGGCAAGAGGCCGACTATCAGCTTTGGAAGCCATATTAGTAGTACCTGAAGCTTCCATGCTGCCCACGGGGTGATTTTTAGAGGGTTGGTAGTTAGACGTAACAGCATTCTTCTCTTCGGTCAAGGTCATGTTATTGCTGCACCTGGAGGAGCGCTGTCTCAAGTTGGGACGGTTGGTGATTGGTCCAGGTGATGGACCGATGGGTGCAGGGGTTGGGTTTTGACTTTTGAATTACTAAGGGAAAACCCAGAACTCTCAAGATTTGGGTTTTCCCAGAAGTGCCAGTATATCTACTCTAATAAAAGGAAACTTTGAGAAAATACCTGTCTGGGAGTTGGAGTTGGGTTTTTCTGGAATCCTGACACCGATGCTGTAAAGCGCCTAGAGAGGGCCGTAAAGGACTGTGAAGGGTATGTCAGCCTAAGGACCACGGCTGGTGCTATTTATTCTGTCTTGGAAACTCCATATCACCTGTCCTGAGAGAACCCAGCCTCAGCCACAGCCCCCGACCCTCAGACTGGGTATTCTTGGCACGTCTGCTAGGAAGGCAGGCCCTCCTTACAGGGGCCAGCTCAGAAGCTCTTGGTGGGGTGGGCTCTGGAGGGACACTGACTCAATCCAGGGAAGGGGGCAAGCAACCTCCCCAACGTTTTACGAGCTTTGCTTGTGGGACCTTCAGTTAACCAAGGAGGAGCAGGATTGTGCCTGCAACTGATGTGAGAAGCACAAGCCCAACTGGGTCAGCTTTACACAGGGAACTGTGGGTGGACGCTGCAACTGGGAGTGGCTTTCATGGAGTGACCACAGATGCTTTTGCAGAGACCCTAGCTGGGAGGAGGTGGGGGCGGGTAGCAACAAAACTGAGGGTGAGACCTCCTGGATACGGAGGGTCAAATGGTCAAGGCTGCCTTCAGCATCACAGGTCCACCGCTGTCCGCACTTACGGGTGGTTGATGGTGCTGGTGGCTGACACAGCACTCCCGTCTTCTGCCAAAACAGCCACGTGGGAGGTGCCGAAAGGGGCCGTTTTCAGCTGGGCCGGGTCATAGTGGCTGGTTGGGTGGTCTCCCCGGCCGTCGATCAACTGCCTGATGTGGTCAGCAAAGGCATCCGACATCATCTCCTGGAGAACTTCCTGAAAGGGTGGGCGGTCCAGTCAGGAAGGAGACCTGCCATGGGTGGCCCTGAGACTACCTTCCAAAATGGCCGCAAGCCAGGAGGGCCGTGAACAGAACACGGATGGGCAGGACTCAAGAGTTTTCTTTCCCAGCCACGGAGCCCCCAGCCCACCGCAGAGAAAGACGGGCCCTTTTATGGTGCTGTGTGCCCAGGGGAAGGAGGAGTGGGGGCACGCAGGAAAAGGAAGACTCCCTTTCCTGCCTCAGTGCGCACACTGTGTGCCAATGCCTCAGGCCACAGCCACCGCAAATTAAATAGCTGGCCTCTTATCCTGCCAGCATCTTCATCCGATATGAAATCAAGAAAAACTTTCCTATTTTCCTTATTCGGATTGTACCTTTGAACTTTTTATCTTTATTTGACTTCTCTGAGCTGTTGCAAAAATCAGGTTTTTTGCATATCGATTAGAAATTCAAGACTCTCTTTTCACATCACATGCAAACAGTGGTGAGGACCGAAAATCAGCCTTTAAAGTGCTGGTTTTCATGATGCTATCTAACCGTTGGCACGTCTTTTTCTGTGCTGCGAACGGCATCGGAGGGTTCTCTGGGTCATTTGCTCCCTTCAAAATAATCGGGGGAGCGAAGTTGCAGAAAAATACCCAGCTCATTTTTATAATGCTGAGGGGACAATTAAGACCTACCTTGCAAAGAAGGGTTTGAAATACAGGCTATAACGGTAAGTATGTGAAGAATAAAATGGATATTAACTTCCACTCATCTGGAAGTTTAAAAAACCAATAAGAACGTTGTCATCTAAGATTTAAGGTCCTGGGAGCAAAGTACCGGGTTCTGACACGCATCTACTAGGCCTATGCAAGCGGGAAAGATGATCAGTCCAAGCACTGAAGTGCTGACCCCAATGTAATTCCAAAATCTGAAGGCAGTCACAGGAAAAGCCCACCTCTTTTATTTCAGAAAATTTCGGGTCATCTAATTTTGCTCTTTGGCCATTGGCAAACTTCAAGGTCTCCGCGATGTAGTGATAGGCCCTTGCTCTTCTGTTTGGTTCTTCCAGATCCACTTTGGTGAAATTGAACCCTGAAAGACAAGGAGAGTTGGGGATGTCCCCACTCATTCAACAGGCTTTTAAAAACCTTTACAGGTTGTCCTCGACTTACAAGCCGGTGGAGGCGCAGTGCTCAGAATGCCGTTTTGCAGGCTAATTTTGCATTCCACTGCCGGGAGTTCGATCCTGACTGGCTCAAGGTGGACTCTGCCTTTCCTCCTTCTGAGGTGGGTAAAATGAGGACCCTGATTGCTGGGGTCAAAAGGCTGACTCTGTAAACCGCTTAGAGAGGGCTGGAAAGCACTGTGAAGCGGTGTATAAGTCTAAGGGCTGTGGCTATTGATACGACCAGAATTGGGACCAGAACTTCTATCAGATAACAGATAATCAGAGTTGGAAGGGACCTTGTAGGTCATCTAGTCCAACCCCCGCCCAAGCGGGAAACCCAACACCATTTATGACAGTCCAATCTCTTCTTGAAAGTCTCAAGTGATGGCGCTCCCACAAATCACTAACTGATATGGTCATTAAGTGAGTTGTGACTGATTTTATGATATTTTTGCTATGGTTGTTAAGTGAATGACATATTTGATAAGTGAATCTTGCTTCCACCATTGACTTTTCTTGTTGAAAAGCTCCTGGGAAGGTCATAAGTGGTAACCTGGGACACTGCAACTATTGTAAATATATGCCGGTTGCCACGGAGCCAAATTCTGATCATGTGACCATGGGACAATGGTCGTGAACACATGTACCAGTGATAAGTCACATTTTACAGCACTGACATAACTTCAAACAATCATTAAACAAATGGTTCTAAGTTGAGCACTGCCCGTACTTTTGCTATGCTCAGCTAAATAACAAAATTCCGTAGACAGAACAATGTTTTTTCCACATGTCAGCTCTTGATCTCCTTACTCCAAACACCATGGATGCAACAGGGAGAACATTTGCATTCTTAAGACACAACAATTGAGCCCGTCACATTAATAGCCCCACTGATGAGAGGCCCGGATGAGGTAATATGACAAAAATAAACCCAAAGAGTAAATATTCCAATCTGCAAAAGCAAGATAATCACAACCAATTATTAAATATCCCTTAGATCCTTGTGTGGTTGCTATCATATTCCCTGCAGTTCACAGCCAATCGATTTCACATCGTTAAACTGTGTTTCAGGCTTGTTCTTTGAGGAACCACGTAATAACTAATATAAATTCCATCAGCTCCACTTTCCTTGAAGAAAGGTAATGGAGGCAAATTAAGTTGTCCAAAGCTATCAAAGTTGCCAAGGTTGGAGACCCCTGCTCTAAAGAATGCAGGAATTGTCCGAATAAGCTAGGATCTGGAAAACAAATTCCAGCTGCCTGCGGGTTATCTTCTCAATTAGCATAACTTCCCTAGGAAAGGAATCCCTTTCACAAGAAAAGGTTTCAACTAATGCCTTGAAACGGGGGGGGGGTGGGGGGTGGGGTGGGGAGAAACAGCCCCCAGAACAGCCTGAAAATAGCCAGAAAAATAGTCTGAAAATGACCCCAGACAACTAGGGAGTTTGGGGGGTGTTTTCTGGGCCATTTTTCATGCCAAAAACATCTGGGAAAATGGCCGGAAAATGGCCCCCAAACAGGCCCGAAAAACAGGTGGTGGCGGGGCCAGCCAGTGGTGGAATTTGCCAGTTCACCAAACTGCACTTAATCTTAACTACCGGTTCGCTACAACCGGTGTGAACCGGCAGCAGCCCACCTCTGCTTTTAAACAGGCAAGAATGAATTAAACTCTGTAGAAATGAGCCTCCAGCAGTTAAAACCTGATGAAATTAAGTATTGGGCTATCTAAGCTTCACTTTGCTGGCTGAGAAACTGACACACAATCCAGAAACAGGCAGCAGGAAAGCCCTGATAAAGAGAGAGGATTAGGAAGGTTTCACAGGGACCCATTGTGAGTAATCTTGTACTAAACATGACCGTACTAAATTGTACTAATCTTGGAGCAGAAATGACAAATGCAATCAACCAAATGTGAGCACAACCCTTGTGGGGAAAAAAAATCTCATAGATTGACAGGTTATATAAATAATAAGACTTTTGTATAAATATCTGAGCCAGTTTTTCCTCAGGGCAATTCATTTGGGCCTCTGTCCCAAGAGCCAGTTTTTCTATTTCTGCAGAAACAAACAGCTGGAAAATGCCATTCCTCGTTCCAGCATGCCGTTGGCCAAAAAAAATATATGTTTACACTGAATAAAACATTGAGTTAGGTCAAGCTTATCTTTTATCTCTACCAAAGTTTTACAAACAGCTGCCTTTGAACCAAATGGTTACAAAATAATGTTACTAAAGTCTCACTTCATTAAATACAAATATTTAGATCTTGTTTTTAAGTTGAATTATTATCCCACAAAGTTTTAATGGGGAAGGTCCCCAGGCATCTGCCTGCAAGAAGCCTGGACTCTTGCAAATCCCCTTCGCAGGAGGGATTCCGATTTTGGCCAGGATTGCCAGATAATAGCCAAAATTAGCCTAAAGACCTCCCTGTTCAACTGACCAACTCGGATGAAGCCCAGCTGAAGAACAGGCAGGGGTAGTATTCTACTGGTTCAGCCCGGTTCTGCCAAGCCGGTAGTGCTGATGAGCACCAGAGACTGAACCAGTTCTCTCCACTGCTCTGCTGTTGGGCCCACCCGCCCGCTCACCTGGCTCCCCGACTCCCCTTCATTCCCTGTTTTTGAAGCGCAGCTGCTTCACGTGGCACAACCGAGTGTCGCATGGCAGCTGCTGAAGCGACCGGGAGAGGGCAGGCTTGCAGGAGGTGAGTTGGAATGCCTCTGCGCCTGCGCAAAGTGCACGTTGGACGTGTGTACATGCAAAATGTATGCATGCGCACAAAGCACGCCCACCAAGCCACACCCACTGAACCCGTGGAAAAAATATTAGAATCCCACCCCTGAGGACAGGAGATGGGTAAATTCCCTTTCTTAAAAAGATAAAATCTTGTGAGATGTTCCTACCAAGGAAATAAATCTGATTTCTTGGAAATTAGTTTAAAATAATGTCACACTCTTTATAGGAAGGCCTTGCATGAAATCAATTAACTCTGGAATTAAATCCCTCCTGGTTACATTTATCTTCCCTTCCCTGTCCTGTTTGAGAAGAATTCCTGGAAAGAAATTCTTAGCCCAGACAAACAAACTCAAGTTAAAATCATGTAGACCAGCTGTATCATTTCAGAATTTCTGTTGATACTGGTCAAAGATTTAAAGCCAAATTATATAAAAAACAAACAAACCAGCTATCCTTGTATGACACTAACTCATTACTTAAAGATTTGATAAATCATATCAAACCACAATATGAAAATTTTGGGGATGTTTGAGTCAAAACCCATTTTAAAATATCAAGGAACTCTATCCAAGCATGCCAAGAAATTATAACATATGTTTTCTAATTTGACGAAACAAGAACACCATTAAAATACAGTATCAGAAACAATAATGGATCATTATTACATAAAATAATATACTGCAATGTAATCAACCAACCAAAGCAGCTGCTGAAATAGTTTTCATATTTATCAAGCAAATAGCTCTGTAATAATTATAGTGGAACTCGTGCTCAGCTCAAGAATAACTTGCCCAGTTAAAACTAAAGTAATGTGGGAGAGTTTCGATAAAAGCTTATTCTATCTAAGAAAAACAGAAAGCAGGAAAAGGTCAATTATACTCTTTACATTAATATTCTGGAAGCCATCAGGGCAGAGAGTATTTTTCAACATCACAGAATAATTGTAATGACAGTCACTGGAGATGAAGAGCACGTAGCCAGATCCTGTAAACAGAGCAAAACCTCAAACCCACTATTTCAGGGGTGTCAAACTCAAGGCCCATGGGGGTGCTTAAATCTGGCCCACCCGGCCTGCAAATATCAAGGGACCTGCCCGTGATCCATCTCCCGAAGCCTTGCAGGGCCTCTCCGTGCCCTGTTTTCAGCCTCCCCAGCTTCCAGCAGCACTCTGCCGGCCAAAAACAGGCTGTGTGGTGGCCCAGGGAGGCTCATTTTTGGCCTCTCTGGAGTAGTCGGACTCTGCCGGCCAAATATGGGCTATGCGGAAGCCTCACAGGCCCTCTGCACAGCCCGTTCTTGGCCAGGAGAGTGCCATCTAGGCTGAAAACGGGGCAAGGGGGGGTCGCAAGTGCCCCACGCCCTGTTTTGGCGGGCAAAGTGCTGCAGGAGGCGTCCGTCCCCTTTCCCCCTCCCCATCGGCCCACAGAGGACAACTACTATGCTGATGCAGCCCTTGAAGAAATCCAGTCTGACACCCCTACCCTATTCCCTCTTCTCTTGCTAAAGCCTCTACGCAGCCCTCATTCGGATCTTGGAATAGAGGCTGCAATGTCACTTTAATTTGAATCTGGCAGGCAGCATCATACTGGGCTTCCTCTAGAACCGTCTGCTTTATGCCACGAGTGGCCATTCTACTTTGGGAAAAAAGCTTCTGTGAAATTCTTTGGTCTTGAGTAAATGCCCCACGCTCGCACGGCAATTCCCCTGAGTTCCTATTAATGCTAGTAACGACCCAGATGCGGATCCCATCCTGCTCAGCTCTGGGCGGGTAGAATTCTGGGTTCCTAGGTGAGGAAGCCAAGCCTTGACCAAGGTCCCAAGGACAGGGTTTCTCCACCCTGGCATCTTTAAGGGGCGTGGACTTCAAAACTCCCAGAATTCCCTGGCCAGGGAGTTGGGTCCACATGTCTTAAAGATGGAGAAACCCTGTTCTAGGGGGAAGGGCAGCCCGCTCTGGGAAGGTCCAAACCCTCTTGCAGGGGGTTGCTTGACTTGTGCAATGGACCATGTTATTTTACTGCTAGCCCCCTCCCCGCTCCAAACAGCTAAGGACTGGGGTCATTGATGGTGAATTTAGAATAGAATAAAATAACAGAGTTGGAAGCGACCTTGTAGGTCATCTAATCCTGCCCCCACAGCCAAGCAGGAGACCATTCCTGACAGTCTCTTCTTAAAAGCTTCCAGTGATGAAGCTTCCACAAGCTCCGAGGGCAACTTCTGTTCCATGGGTTGATTGCTCTCATTGTCAGAAAAGTTCTCCTTATTTCTAGGTTGAATCTAGGTTAAAAACAAGTTCACCCCCTCCTCTCTGTGTCAGCCTCTCAAATATGTCTCCCCTGGTCCTTCTCTTCCCGAGATTAGCCAGGCCCAGTTCCTGAAACAGTTCTTCATATATTTTAGCCTCCAGTCCCCTCATCATCCTGGTTGCTCTTCTCTGCACTCTTTCTAGAGTCTCAACCTCTTTTTTTTTACAGTGGGTGACCAAAACTGGATGCCGGACTCTAGGTGTGGCCTTACCAAGGCTTTCCAAGCTAGTTCTCCAGGTTCACCTTTCCTAATCTGGAAACCCCTCACCCTCCAGAAGCTGGCTGTGATTCTTCCCCAAGAATCTTCCCCAAGGTTAACCAAGAGGCCCCCGGGGGTCAAGAGCCACCCTTTGCTCATGTACCTTTTAGGACATTGAGAATGAAGAAGAGGACTGATCCGGCTGCTGGCCTTGGGGCTGAGAATATCGTGTACTTGTCCAGTGACATATTCACAGGTTTCATCAGTTCAATGTGATAATTCTTGAGGTCCTCCAAGGTCAAGGTGCCACCTAAACAATGGAAAGAAAAAAGAGTGAATCTTTTCATCCTCCTAGGAGGTGACACTTTCCAGACAGGAAGCGCATGGTGGTCTCGCTCTCAGCTTGAAGCCCCAGGAGAGGCTGCGGACCAGGAGCAGATTTCAGCCCAAGAGTTGCCACAGTGACCAACAGGTGGCCTTTAGTATTTTGAGTATTGATTTGATTTGTCAATCGCTTACAAGATACAGGTATAAGAATAAATATAGTTTTGAATACATGAGATGGATACTTATAAGAAAAATAACGAAAAAACAATAGGACAGGGACGGTAGGCACGATTGGTGCACTTATGCACGCCCCCTACGAAACTGTCAAAAGCTCACGCTTCTCTGCCCCTATTTCAGGAGAGAAGAACTTGGATTACGCATCCGTAATTGAAGTGGACTCCTGGGCAACTGCATGCGAGAACCATTTTGGAAAAGGGAGGCTGTTGGGAAGACCAGTGGCTAACTTAGCCATTACAGGGCCCTTCCCCACTTGAACCAAAGTATGGTACAAACACAAATGTATCATGATTTTGTCTTTTTCTTCCCTGTAGCCCCAAGTCTCAGTCAACTTTACACCATCCTTCGCTGTGCCGGTGAGAAAGTACTGCCTTTTCCCTTCCCCCAACCTCCATTTTGGCTATGACCTCATTGGCTTCACTGACCACCTGAGGGCCGGGGGGTGCAGAGATCCCCACAGGTTGGACTGAGCCTGGATCCTCTGGGCTGTTCCAGGCCAGAATGGGACAACTCACTAGTGGAGAATTCAACAAATACAAACGTTGAATTAATTTCAACAGAACCATGGCCAATAATAATAAAGTCAATCCAGAAACACAAGAGTTACAAAATGTGGTCACCAATAATAAAAACAACTGAATGAAACAATTGAGACAGGGTTGAATTGTCCCGCAGTGAGTTGGCCATGATGTCTTAGACCTGTTCCAGGCTGGGTCAGCATCTCTTCAGCTCTAGTTTGACTCTGCTTTGACATTGGGAATCTTGGGGTCTTTTCACAGAGACTTTCTCCTCTGTAGACCAGGTCTTGGAACAGTCGGAACAGCTGCTAGCCAAGGCGGGTAGTCCAGGGGGTCCCAAAGGGAGGCGGGGGTGGAGTGAAAAGAAGAACAAACCTCCTGGTGCCTTTTGGCTGCTGTTGGCTGGTTTTGAACGTGGGCTTAGCCTGCTTTGGAGGTAGCACAAAACCCCCACGTGAAATGAACTTGACTTTCTCTCTCTCTCTCTCTTCCCCACCGCCCCTTTAAAGGGGACACGAAGGGCATAACTGAGGTCAGACAGGCCGAGCTGCAGTCCCGTCTCACCACAGCCTCACCCTTTCTTGGCCAATGGTCTGGCACTGCCCCATTTCGTGGGAACGGAGAGGCTGTGGTGGTTTGCCAGCAGCCGGTGTGGACATCAGAGGTATTGGACAGTGGGGAAGAACGGGGACCAGTCAGAGAGTCTGGAGAGGACTCGGACGAGGGTCCTGCATCCAGTGCAGAGATGGGGCCAGGGCCATCTGGGAATGGGGTGCTGACTCCAAAGCTTTCGGAGTCTGGCAGCAGCGAGGCAGAGGACCCAGGGGAGCCTGTTCCCAGTGCGCGTGTGCACAGGGCTGCTAGAAGGCGAGAGCAGCTGAAGCAGCAGGGGCAACTCGGGAGGAAGGCTGGGAGGTGATTGCCCCTCCCATAAGGGATAAAAGTCAGTCCTCGATGACGAAGAGCTTTGCAGGAAGCAAAGCAGTTCAGTAATCTCCGAGTCCTTCATGAAGCTCTGTACTCTGGTCATTTTTTTTTTTTTCTAGGTTTTTGGGTTGTTTTATGTTAAGCCTTAATTGGACTTCTGTTTGTTGGCAAGCATTCTACAGCACTGAGAAGCATGCTCTTCTCTGGAGGAATTGTGTCTAATGAGTTTTGGCTGGGAATGCAAGTAATTCCCAGCGTCCCATTAAAATAGGTTTTACTTTTAAAAGCAGTTTGTGTTTTATTACGTTTGATGAAGCCTGGGTCAGAACAGCGGCTACATCTCTCAAATCTCAGGCGGCGGGGTACTGCAGGAGATGTCCGTTCCGTCTCCCCCACCTCCCATCGGCCCACAGAGGACAACTGCAATGCTGATCCAGTTGATCTCTCAGAAATCCAGTTTGACACCCCTGCACTATTCCTCTTGCGGAAGCCTCCAGGCAGCCCTGATTTGCACCTTGAACAGGTGCTGCAACGTCACACTCATCTGATTCTGATTCAACAGATTCTGCAGATTATTCCCCGGGGGCCTGGCAGGGCCCTGAGGAGGAACCGGCTTGGGGGAGCCGTGCCACGTAGCCCTACCTTCCGCTCTGACGTCTTGCACTAACTTTTCCGCCGTCCTCCCAGAGTAGAATTCTGCGGCCCCGTTTTCTGCCACGGCTTTCAGGGTCTTCTCTAGGGCTGCCCAATGTAAGGCCTCCCCGCTGCTCAGGACAGCTCCTCGGTCATTACAAAGCAGCCGGCTGAAAGAGAAGCCAAGGAGGACGCCGGTCAGCGGTTACTGCTCTCTACGCCTCTCTTCGGAAGCCCCGATTCAGCCTGCGCACACAGCCGGCTCTGGTTGGCTCCCAAGAACAGAGGTGAGTCTCTGCTCTGTGGGCGGGTGGGGCTTCCCTTTCAATACAGGCAGTCCTCGACTTACAACGGTTCATTTAGTGGCCGTTCCAAGCTACAGCAGCAGTGAGAAAAGGGACCTCTGAGCAGTTTTCACACTTACAGCATCCTCAGGGTCACCCGATCAAAATGGAGGCACTTGGCAATGGGCTCCTAGTTATGATGGTCGCGGGGTCCCTGGGACACATGGTGCCCCTTCCGGCAAGCCAAGGCAACGGGCAAGCCAGGTTCACTCAACAACCTTGTTACTAACTTCACAACTGCGGGCCTTGAGGTGTGGCTCTTCTTCATTTGCGTGGGGTTAAAGGTCATGCAGATGTGAGTGGCCGAAACTCCCCATGGCCAAAGGGTGGGAGGGCAGCTTCCCCACACTGACCCTTCCCTAAAAGTGGGGCTGGGGTGGCCGCTTGCCCCCACTCCCACCCCCTCACACGCCAAGTAGAAGCACACACGGCTCACACGCACCACTGAAGGGCTACATCTCTTCGTCCCCACCCACCCGCTACAACTAGGCAAGGAGAGGTGCCGCTAGGCCGGACCGACAGGTAAACGTTGATAGCTGGGGGACAGCAGTGGGGAGAGAGAGAGAGAGATAAGAAAGGCAAGGCAAACTATTCCCCTTTCTTGGCTTATCCTTATCCTTCCTGGGGAGGCCGAGGCCCCTTTTCAAAGGGGAGGGAGAGGACCTCCCAGTCAAACAACGGAGGTCTGGGAGTCACTAGAGGTGATCAGAAGGAGCACAACCTCGAAACAAAGTGATGCTACCTCAATGTCAGCAGAGATTTGTGAAGCTTTATCCAGTTGCCTTCCTGAGTAACTTTATGGACCGTGTGTTTGCAGGATCTGGCTGCCCCATTTCACCCCCTCCCCCCAACTATTTAGGTCAGGTGGCTTGGCTCTTATTGATGCTGAGGGGGGTCCTGGCTTATCCTTGGGAGGCAGGGGAGGGGCTACTTGCGGTGGGTTTGTGGGTTTTAATGCTGTGTTTTAAAGCCCCCCCAGAGTCACTTGTGTGAGGTGGACAGCTATATAAATCAAATAAGGGGAATAACAGGAATGTCATCACAATATACCTTATTTGGGCAAAGCGGTTGGCAGTGTACCCCACATTTTAATTAGCAACACAGTTCAACGTGGTCAACTGTTGACTTGATTATTACACTCTGATATCCATAGTTCCTAATCAAACTGGAGGGTTGTACTAAGGGGTAGCATAGAGCTGAAGAAGCTTCTTGGATGAGAAGTGAAACGTCTTCAAAGAAAAAAAAAAAAGGAAAGTCCAGTTGCCTCTTGAAAAAGCACCTTTGGGACTACTAAGGGGTACCGCAAGATTTAAAATACAAAAAGGGAGGGAACGGGTATCAAATTTGCAGATCATACAGTATTAGGTGAGATTGAGAATGCTTAGAAGACAGGAACAGCATTTAAAAACGGTCAAGGATTAAAGAAGTTGGCTGAAAATAAGAGACTCCGCTCTTCACTCAGAAAACAGAAATCAATGCACGCGCATAAGATGGATTGGTAACAAAAGGTATGAAAAGGACTTGAAACTGAGGCTCACTGAAAGCTGAATATGAAGATTCATACTACAGAACTTTATAGATATTCACATTTCAAAGAACCTTCTCCCAAGTAACAAGCATTTTGCACCATTATTTTGTGGTGAAGAACAGTGGCAAAAGGATTGTAGGAAACGTCTTTAGCCAGGCTATGTTCAAAATTGCTGTAAAGGATCCAAGCAGGATACTGGCCTCTTATTAGCCAATCCCTTGTTTAAAAGTTTGCTCTCACCATGAGGATGAATTATTCAAATGCGGCGCTAAGATTTTCAGAAACTGGCTCAAAACGTCTGATACCCTGATCCCAAGGCCAAGCATCTCGATGGTGGGTTCAAAAAGATCCTTCCACGGCAATCTACCGTAGCGCCGGTGAGCTTCTTCATAACCACGAAGTTCTCCAGGAACAGCAATCCATTGAGACCCTACCGAAGAAAGGCAGAATTATGGGTAAGGCAGACCCTTCTCAAATTATCACCCTAATTTCGCTATTAGATTGCTTGGGTTCGTTCCCTTGTGACTTGCAAAAACGTATCAAAATTATTAGTAGAAAAATCCGAGTGTTTCTCAACTTTAACAATCCTGATAAGATGGGTGGATTCTTGTTATCCAGAATTCCCCAACAAGCCAGCCAGCCAGCCTTAAAATCAGTAAGGTTGAGAGAAACCCGACTACTCAATCACTCATCCTAGCAAAACCCTTTCAGATGCAAGTATGGCTGATGTTTTTAAGGGCCATAAGTCAGAAGAGAATGGCTGATGATATGAATACTGTATGTTCGTATCTGCTTAAGGAATCCTCTTTGGGATCGAAGAGGCTAAGTTCCCCCACATTTTAAGTCTTCGAGCTATTTAAAAAGAGACTGGACAGTCACTTGTCTGAAATGGTATAGGGCCTCCTGTTTTGGGTTGGACTAAAAGACCTCCAAGGTTCCCTTCAGGTCTATTCTGATGGATTGACACCTGAAATTCTATCAGTATTATGGCATCTAAGTGGCACAATGCAACACTATAAGCCATGCATTGTTTTAATTAAAAATGGCTGAATAAGCCACAGTGGTCTAATTCACACAAAAGCTAAGCCATTAATCATGGGTTGCAAAACTCAGCTGGATTCACACACTGGACTAAAGGCACTTATAATGGCTTGGGGAGGGGAGTGAGGCCAAGCAGTGTGCTGATGCCATCTTACTCAAGCTGCCTCTATGGTGAAACCATCTCTGGGAGGCTCTTTTCCCAAGGTAGCTTCAGGTTTCTTCCAATGGAAATGAGATAATCTCTAGGTGTACATAACGTCTCCCAGGCTGATTCTCCCAAAGAGATCCAAGAACAGGGTCTTTGAACAGCTCCCTCACACGCAGTTTCTCCCCAGCCCCACCGATACAAACCACTGTATTATTGAATCATAACGTTACCTGGAAGCAACGTGTTTCTACACTGTTTCAGCAAACCTTCAGTGATGTTTTGGGGAGCCCTTTCACGAGCATTGAGCACCTCAATTTTTCCTGCAATCCAAAGAAGAACACATTGAAAAATCCCCCACAGCTTCCATGGAGGTGATGAATAACACCTATAGCATTGTCCTGACAAAGTTTACCTAGGTTCACATCTCAAATCTCTTATTTCATTCACAAACCCCATGTTCAATCCACCTAGTTTGTTGGTAGCTTAAAGTAAAGGGAAAGGTTCCCCTTGCACATACGTGCTAGTCATTCCCAGCTCTAGGGGGGCGGTGCTCAACTCCGTTCCAAAGCTGAAGAAGAGCCAGCGCTGTCCGAAGACGTCTGCGTGGTCATATGGCCGGCATGACGAAACACCGAAGGTGCACGGAACACTGAAGACACACGGAACGCTGTGACCTTCCCACCCAAGGGGTCCCTATTTTTCTACTTGCATTTTTTACATGCTTTCGAACTACTAGGTTGGCAGGAGCTGGGACAAGGAACGGGAGCTCACTCTGTTATGTGGCGCTAGGGATTCAAACCGCCGAACTGCCGACCTTTCTGATCGACGAGCACAGCGTCTTAGCCACTGAGCCACCGTGTTCCTTGGTAGCTTACACTTCCTTAATTTTCTTAGGGTCTTGAAAACCATGATTCAAAGTAGTCAAAAGTTTAGAAGACAGAACAGAATCATAAGGCTGGAAGGGACCGGCCATCCTTTTTTGAGGAGCGGTACATGCTGCTACATTAATGGTTCCACCTGAGGCCGTTTCTCCTCAAGGTTGGGTGAACCTACCTGTCGGTGCATCATAGATGGTGAAAATAATGCCTCCACCCAGGCCCATGCTCTGTGGATTCAGGACGGACGTGCAGACCAAGGCTGCAATAGCAGCGTCTACGGCTGAGCCGCCACGTTTTAAGATGTCCCTGTGGGGCATAAAGAGGGCAGAGCATGAAACATCAAAAGCTGGCAGCAGAAGAGCTTCTCCCGAGAAATCGGGCACCGTGGGCTTCTACAGAGGCAGATGGACAGCAGCAGCAGCGAGATACCTGGCTGCCTGAAAGGCACAACGATGCCCTTCATCAGGCAGAGGCCAGTGACCAATGGCTGCCGATTGAACTGTGGTGGAGAGCAGGACTTCACCTGAAGACAGCAGACCCTCTCCAGGACGACCTCACAAAGTACGTGCAGTTCTCTCTTCCAACTCCTGTGTTCTTGTCTTCAGATTAAGCAAACAGAGCAGCTCAGAGGACAATTGCAACACAACTCATCAGCAGGAAGGAGGCACAGGGAGAGAATGTCTAGACTGCCATGGATCTTGAGGAATTGCATGCTCAGCTATTGTGGGAAAAGAGAGAGCTCACGGTTGCTGTTGCAAGAAATGTGTCATGAGAGTTCTTGATAATTGCTGATTGTGAGTGAGTGATTGAAGGCCTGCTTGTTCTTGAGTAAGAACACTTGCAGCCTAGGAATATAAGGCAACCAGCTTTTGGAGAGGGAATTCATCACTGGGCAAACATACGGTACAGAGGCAGCTAATACAACATTTCTTTCTTTGTTTATTCATTTGTATTTCACCTTTATTATTTTTTAAAATGACTAAAGGTGGCAAACATGCCTAATTCACCTCCCTCCTTCTATTTTCTCCACAGCAACAACCTTGTAAGGTGCACTGGCCCAAAGTTGGAACAAACTTTGTGAAGACAGTGAGTTCAATGATTGTAATAAATTTTCCCTGTGTGTCTTTCCACTAGTGCTGTCTAAAAAACAGAAGAGGAACAGACATAATTCAGAAGTCCTGAACTGCAATGTCTACGGCGTGTTTGTTCTCCTTTCTGAAAACAATTCGACTTATATAGAATTCTTTATTGACCAAGTGTGACTGGACACACACGGGATTTGTCTTGGTGCAAATATTTGCAGCAAGTACAAATTAGTGTTAGCTAGAGGGAAAAAAGTCCAAAGATTAGAACAATGAATGGCTTCATTTCAGCTCAGAAGGAAAATGAAAGATTCACTGGACCAAAAAAGCCCAAAGCTGAGAAAAGCAACTCTCCACAGGGAAGAAACAGAGGAGGAAGTTTAGTGAAATGAGAATGACAACTGGAAGCCAAAGGCATAGAGGCTTTTTGCACCTCTAGAAATCAGAACTTTTAGGGATACACCAAAGAGGAAGAAAAGGATATCCTGCATATCTGCAGGCGGGTCCTGAAGGCGGAAGAAATACAAGACAGAAATCACATTCAATCAAATAACATTCAATCAAATTTGATCCTTTTAAGTTAACGAAATGGCCTGAAAATAAGAGAATGTTTGAATGAGTTATTTGTTAAACAGAACCAAGCATACGGGTCCTGCCCTCTGGAAATGAGGATTACAGTATCGATAGAGACCTTCAAATGTCTAGGTTCTGTCATATCGCAAGACCTAAAATGGACACCTAACATCAAAAACATCATCAAAAAAGCACAACAAAGAATGTTCTTTCTGCGCCAACTCAGGAAGCTCAAACCGCCCAAGGAGCTGCTGATCCAGTTCTACAGAGGAATCACTGAGTCTGTCATCTGCACCTCTATAACTGTCTGGTTTGTCTCTGCAACCCGACAAGACAGGCACAGACTTCAGAGAGTAATTAGGATTGCAGAAAAAACAGTGGCTAACAGCCTGCCTTCAATCAAGGACCTGTATACTGCACGAGTCAAAAAAGGGGCTCTGAAAATATCTACAGACCCCTCATGTTCTGGACATAAACTGTTTTAACTCCAACCCTCAAAACAACGCTATAGAGCACTGCACACCAGAACAACTAGACACAAGGACAGTTTTCCCCGAATGCCCCCACTCTGCTAAACAAATAATTCCCTCAACACTATGCAACTATTTACAAAGTCTGCACAACTATTACTATTAATCTTCTCATCATTCCTTATCACCCATCCCCTCCCACTTGTGACTGTATGACTGTAACTTTGTGGCTTGTATCCTTACAATTTATACAGTTTTCTAGTATGATTTGATTGCTTATTGTACCCTATGACTATCATTAAATGTTGTACCTGATGATTCTTGACTCTTGACGAATGTATCTTTCCTTTTATGTACACTGAGAGCAGTTGCACCAAAGACAAATTCTTTGTGTGTCCAATCACACATGGCCAATAAAGAATTCTATTCTATTCTATTCTATTCTATTCTATTCTATTCTATTCTATTCTATTCTATTCTATTCTATTCTATTCAGACAGAAAGACAGTGTCAGCTGCTCATCTCTGCTTTCTTTGAAACTCGCTTACAACTGCCATAACCAGGGAAGGGAAGGGAAGCTCCTGGGTGTGTGAAATAATGCTATGGGAAATTGGGGAGAATGGACACTAAAAGGAACCAGAGATGCCAAACAGAGCCATCCGGCAAGCTTTGAGGGTGCCAGTCCTAGGAAAAGAATTTGCATTGGCACCTGAGGAACTGAGCTCCAAAAACACCAGAGAGAGGGAGGGAGGGAGGGAGAGAAAGAGAGAGAGAGAGAGAGAGAGAAAATATATTATCCGCACACCCTCAAATCCTGCGAATGGAAAGGCCCTTCTATGAGGAGCAGCAAACAAGGTCTTCTAAAAGGTCTTTAGAGCTGTTACAGAAGATGCTGCCCAGGTCTTCAGAGTAGTTTGTCACAACTGAGGTCTCGATTGAGTTTTGCTAAATCTCAGCCATGGCTTTTTTTCTGGACCAAGATGAACAGAGGCCAGGTAGCCATAATATCAACAATATTGGTAAATATCTGCTTCTGTGGATGGACTAAGTGTAAAAGATGTTAATGAAGGAATGACAGATGTGAAAATAATTCTACAGAAATAGTAGCATCATAAACAATGTAGATTACAAGACAGAGAAGGCATTTAAAGTGGAACAAGCACCTGGCCAAGGGAATGACCCAGATGGGGTTTGGATATACAAAAGAAGCCAACTTACTGAAGTTTCAAACTTAAAGGGAAATACAAATGACAAACCACAAGAATGACTTAGATAGTATCTTTTCATTAGATTTGTAAAAAAGGATTTCTAAAGCCTTGAAGAATGGGATAGGATTTATCTGATGGGATAAAGAATTGAAGAGAGATCAAATCTCCTGACAATATTTGAGCTAATTAAAAATTAAGATTTTCAGAGATGAAATGAAGAAATTATAAATTTGGTTTATTTGGTCAAGGTTAAAATAACTTTATGGGATGAAGAGTTACCAAACTTGTTTACACTTATGATGGAGATTGGAAATCACTTCTTTATATATTTCTCTTTTGCTTTATTTCAAGGTTTTTCTTTTGTTTGCACTTTTTATTCCCTTTTTGTTTTTCTTTTTTGAGTTTAATCTGTATTAGTTTTTTTTACTGCAATTCATGTCTTTAATAACTATTATATTAAAGCAGGTGTAATTTATAACTTTGCTTGAATACCTTTAAGCAAGCCATGTTATAACCAGAAACCAACATGGATTTATTAAAAACATCATACCAAACAAATCTTATTCCATTCTTTGACAAAGTGATTAACTTAGTAGACCAGAGAAATGCTGTGAACATAGTATACTTAGACTTCTGTAAGGCATTTATCAAAGTAGACCAAACCTACATCTTCATAAGCTAGAAAATTGTGGGATAGACAGCATCACCACTGGATGAATTTGTAACTGGCTGACAAACTGTACTCAACAAGTAGTTCTAATGAAACTACATCTACATGGAGGGAAGTAAGAATTGAGTATCGCAAGGTTCTGTTTTAGACTCAATACATTTCAATATCTTCATAAATGACTTAGATGAGGGAATAGCAGGGGAGCTCATCAAATTTGCAGATAAGAACAACCTGGCAGGAATAGCCAACACCCCCCAGAAGATAGACTCAAGATCCAGATGGATCAAAACAGAGTATCAGGCCCTATCTAACAAAATGAAATTCAATGGAGAAAAAGTAACGTTTTACACTTAGGAAAGAAAAACCAAATGCACAGGTACAGATTAGGTGAAACTTGGCTTAATAGCAGTAAGAGGGATCTTGGAGTCTTAGTGGATAGTCACTTAAATATGAACCAGCAGTGTGTGACAGCACCTAAAAAAGCTAGTGAAATCTTAGGCTGCGTTAACAAAGGGATAGAATCAAGATCACGTGAAGCGTCAGTACCACTTTATAATACTTTGGTAAGACCACATTTGGAATACTGTATCCAGTTTGGTCATCGTGTTATAAAAAAGAAGTCGAGATTCTGGAAAGAGTGCAGAGAAGAGCAACAAAGATTATTAGGGGGCTGGAAAACATACGAAGAACAGTTTCAGGAATTGGGTATGTCTAGTCTAGTGAAAAAAAGGACTAGGAGTGACATGATAGAAGTATTCCAATATCAGTGGGGCTGCCCCAAAGAAGAGGGGGTTAAATTATTCTCCGAAACACCGGAAGGCAGGAGAAGAAGCAACGGATGGAAACTAATCAAGGAGAAAAGAAACAGGATTAAGGGAACCATTCCTGACAGTGAGAACAAATAACAGCTTGCCTTCAGAAATTGTGAACGGGGCTCCATCAACTGGAGGCTTTTACGAAGAGGCTGGACAGCCATTTGTCTGAAATGGGATAGGTTTTCCTGCTTGAGCAGGGGGTTGGACTGGATGATCTCCAATGTCCCTTCCAACCCTGTTATTCTGCTTTTCTGTGTGATGAGTGAACCAATATGCAAACCCAGAGAGATTGTTGTTGGAGACCCTTTGAAGATTATTACAGTAGCTTTATGGGATCCATTTTGAAGGACCCCCTAATCTCCCTTCTCTTCAAGGGCCACTTTGAAGCTTGTTTGCTCATTTGTGTTCATGAAGGTTGGTGTGCCTGAAAGGTAACACAATATCGCTGAAGTCAATTAATCTGCCCAACTGAGCTATGACCCATTGACCACAATACATGGCATCCTGATAGCCACGGGGCCATCTTAATTATGGTTATATTTGACAAGGCCACCAGAGTAGAAAGATTAGGACAACTGAGGTCTCTGAGGATCCTCCTGGTCTTGCAAGAAAAGGGTTGCAACAAAACCGAAACCCATATCCAAAGTGAAGCCTAAGAGTTTAGTTAGAGAGGCTTTTTTTTTTTTAAAGAGGCCACCTCTCTTGAATTCTTTTCTGGGAAGCAAACAACCCAGGATCTGGTTCCACATCTTACATAAACCACTCCCAATCAGTTTGTGGTGGAAATCATAATTGCCTGCATTTGAAGGCTATGTTGAGACAAAAACCGAGGAAAGCGGTTGCCAGGAGTAAGCGGGATGAATGAGCGCAGCTAAGTTTTAAAAGTTACGAACTGATTGACGAGATGACAGCAAATAACCTCGCTGTACAGTGCGCGACATGCTCGCGGAAACGTTTCAACAAGCAGTTGAGATTTATCTACAAGTTTTATACGGTTGCTATTTCAAGCCCTGAGCCTCCGCAGGTCCAATGAAAACCGACGATGAAACGGGACCGGCCTCACAACGGGGCCGGCGGGAGTGCGGGAGGCCCCCCGGGGGCTTTCCCTGGATCCAAAGCGAGCAGCTCTGAAGCGGCGTCGAGCTCCCCGGGCGCCCCTCCGCCTGCCCGGGAGCGGAGTTTAGGCGAGGCGGGGGAAACGGCCGGCCGTGCGGGCGGACGATGGAGCAACCCGCCTCCTTCCCTGCTCGGTTCTCGGCTCTGCGAAGCGCTCGAGCAACGCCGAAAAGAGCCCGTCGATTGGGCCGCCCCGTCCGCAGCAGCGCCCCCCCCAAGCCGCCCCCGCTCGCGGTCCCCGACGGCGCGTCCCGCCCGTCTCTGTTTTGGCTGCCTCTCCGCCTTACCTGCCGACCTCCGAGCACCTGCGGGTGTCCGCGGCCACAGCCGCGTGCCAATAGCGGGGAGGGTCGCACCTGGGCCGGCCGAGGTAGAGCAGCAGCAGCAGCCCCGCGCCCACCGCCAGGAGGGCCGTCAGCAGCAGCAGCGCCGCGCAAGAGGCCGCCCGCCTCGACAGCCCCATCCCGCCGCCCTGGCCCCGCGCGCTCCGCTCTCGTCCCCCCGACGGACGGGCCCTGGGGAAGCAGCTCCCGGATCGGGCTGCCCTTCGGGGGGTTGGGCGGGGAGGAGAGCCGGGCAGGCAGGCGCAGCCGCCTCGCCCCGCCCCCTCGAACCGCGCCCCGGCCCTTCCCCTGCCGGCGGCCGTTGGGCGAGCGGGCGCGGGGCTGCAGCCCTCCGAGCTGCTTCCGAGGCCGGACTTCGAGGGCTCCGCGGACGCTTGACGGAGCCGCCTCCCTTCCCGGGAACCAAAAGCAAAAGACGTTGGAGTTTCTCGAAAGTAGAGAGAAAGTAGAGAGTAGACGGGGAGGGGGGGAATGCCCTGCTTGGCCGGAGAAGCGGCCTCAGCCGCCCCCTGGCCCGTCTCTGCCGGCGACCCTCTTCCCAGGCGGGGGGACGGAGCCTCTGGGAGGAAACCTCCTTCCGCGGTTGTCCGGGTGGCTCAGCGGGACACACCCGTGGCTTTTAAAAGCCCCCAACGGAGGCCAGGCAGCCGGTCAGCCCCGCTGAGGCGCGAAGAGCCTCTTTCCGGGCACCTCCGCGCAAGGCGTGGGGATTGCGATGCTTGGGCTGCCTGTTCGGGGCTGGCGGGCGGCCGGGCGGCTCGCTGGCTCTTGGCGGCTGTTTCCCAGCCCCACGCAGGGCCGGCCGGCGAACTCCAAAACTGGCCGGCCTTCGTTGAGTCTCGGCCTTCTCCTTCCTTAAGCGCTAAGGAGGAGCTGAAAAACGCCTGGAGCTGTAGGGCAGAAGGGCTAAAAATCTCCCGTCCCTCCCATGCCTCTTCTTCAGGGCCTGCTTAAGCAGGGCTGGGCTTCCAGCAATGGGTTCTCTGCCAGGTTGCTGAGTGGGCGTGGCCTAGTTGGCCTCCTGCACCTGGGGGGGGTCGGCTTTTTTTTTTTTGCCCTGCCTGGGCTCCGGAGGCTTTCCTTTCAGCCTCTGGGAGGACAAAAATGGCCTCTCTAGGCTCCAGAGGCTCTCTAGAAGCCAAAAATGGGCCGTTTCCGGCCTTTCCAAACTTCCGGGAGGCCCGTTTTTCGCCCTCCCGGAGCCTCTGAGCGCACCCTGGACTTACAGAATCCTTAAAAAGTTGGCTTGTCTGTTCTGCTCAACAAACAGGAGCTGCTGCCGCCAATTCCTGTTTATTTGCCGCTCAGTCATAACAGCCTTCTAGAGATTAATGGCAATTTCTGAGGAACAGACGAATATTGTTACAGGATGTTAGCAAGATTATTGTTAACAATATTGTGGTAGCCCCTCCAACTCCACTCCGACATAGGCGACCAGGCAGAGCAGAGAACCAGCTGCCCAGATGATCTCAGGATGACCACCTCCTGCACAGCACTGGACAATTTCTTGACCAAGGATGCTTTGCTACCTAAGCCAATTTGGCTAGCAGGCCACGTCGTGGTGGGATCACTGGAGAAATTAGCAACCCATCTTCCCGCCCTCTCTCAGGTTTTGTGTTGTCCTCTGCAGAATATTCATTTCTCTCACGATGAAGCTCTTCGCAGCAGATCACCAGCAAAAGACTTTGGATCAGGGGACTGGAGGCTAAAACATACGAAGAACCGTTGCGGGTATGTCTAGTTTAATGAAAAGAAGGACTAGGGGAGACAGGATAGCAGTCTTCTACTATCTGAGGGGCTGCCCCAAAGAAGAGGGAGTCAAGCTATTCTCCAATGCACCTGAAGGCAGGACAGGAAGCAATAAGTGGAAACCGATCAAGGAGAGACGCAACCAAGAACTAAGAAGAAATTTCCTGACAGTGAGAATAATTGGCCAGTGGAATGAATGGCTTCCCTCCTGAAGCTGAAGGGGCTTCATCCCTGGAGGTTTCTGAGCAGAGTTTGGGCGACCCTTTGTCCAGACTGGTATCGGCTCTCCTGCTTGTGTACGGGGGTTGACTAGAAGACCTCACAGGTCTCTTCCAACCCAGTTATTCTGATTACCTTCCACCAATTTACCATCCCGGTGCACCTTCTTTTTCAATATTTCCACAAAAGGGGCTTTGAGAATTTCTCTATTCAACCTTTCCCTTACAGGGATGCCTTTGCTTGCTCCTGTTCCAAGAAGGCAGCAAATTCGGCACTGAAAAGGGTTTCTCAACCTGCAGCTGAGGAAACTCCTCAGAGACACTGTGGGAGATAAGAAGCTATAAGAAGCCCTGCTGGGAAAGATAAGCTGCTCAGCCTTGAGAGGGCCACCTGGCTGACTCAGCGGGAACCCTGCTGGCTCATCAACCCAGAGAGCAGGGGAAGGTTTCCTCACATTAGCATGTGGGGCTGCAGAGGTACATCAATCGGCTGCATCAAAAACCTTGTGAAATATCCAGCGACTTCGATGAGCTCAGAATAACCAAGAAGATGTCACCATAGCAAAGGCTTTTTAAACCCCAGGAACTCCCAGGTTTACCAAGCAAGGAAGATCCTTCCTTGTGTTAGACGTAGACGAGACATAGATGAGAGAAAATAACAACAGAACAAAGAGTTGGAAGGAATCCTGGAGATCATCCAGTCCAACCTCCTGTGCCATGTCAGAAAAAAAATAATTATATCAGGCAAGACCATTCTGGCAGGCAGCAGAAGGACTGATGGATCAGCAGATCCTCATGATCATCTCTTCCTGATCAGAACATGAGTCACTGCTCTTTCCTCCCTTCCAGATTCCCTGGGGAGCCATCAGTTTTGGAAGGTCGCCCCACCGATTCAAGCTTGCCAATGGCCTCAGAGCTTCCCATTGAGGAGCGTTCTGTGGCTGCCAGTGACAAAAGAGCCCTTATCAATGTCTCCCAAGCAGGAGGAGAAGATCCATCCTGCATCCATCCATTCTGCAGAGCTTCCTGCATCCAAACCCCCGGTGGAAATACTATTTCAAAGTAGGAAGAGGGAGGCTAGGAGGATGGCGTGCAAGCAATTGATCCCTGCAACCCACTCCAAAAAGTCCAGCACTTTTCTGGTGCATGGTTGCATCTCATTCATGGCAGAAGCACCTCAGTTCAATTCCTGCAGCAGTTTAGGAAGAACGTGACCGGGCGTTGTCAGGGATGAACAAGCCATTGTCACATTAGATTTGGATGTGGGACCCCGGAATGAGGACATCACATCAGTCAGGAAAGGCAACCTGCAATTCTGGCTTCGTTTGTTGTTGTTGTTGTTGATTGGCTGCACCACGCGTGTTCCTAAAGTTGGGGAGAAGGATAATAATATTTCACTTTATTTCTTACTTCAATTGTCTCACCTCAACAAAGGTGAGAGAAAGCTGAACCCCTAAACCATATACCTATCAGTCTTCAGTATCAGCTGTAAGTCACATGCTGGACATCAGCATGAAGGATGATTCTGAAAACCTTCTGCCAGTGTTACAATTTGGCTTTCAAGAAGGCTTTGAATCTGGCAGAAAAACCCACCTCCAACTTAATCTACCCTCCCTTTGTGTGGCATGAGTGTTGATTTCAGAACTACGTGAGAATGGCCTGTGATCAGTAGAGACAAGGAGATTTGTTAGTTTTTGTTCTCACCTGGGAGATAGGCTCTTAGAGAGGCCAAAGGTCTGGTAAACAAAGCTTTTATGCCTCTCAAGAGTGAGTTGCTTAAAATCTCCCCCCCCCCTTTTTTTTTCCTTCTAAATCATCTTGGATGTTGTCTGCTATTACGCCTGTGATTAAACTTCTAGACAATAATGCTATCGGCCTATCGTTTCCTGGTATTGTCCTTCTTGTTGGGTCTTTTTGAAACAGATAAGATTTGCCAGTTATTAACCAGTTGCTATCTCTTTTATGAATACTTCATTAAGAGGTTTAGCTATTAATTGGATGTAAGCCAGTCAGATATTTGAGCCAAAAGCCATGCTGTTGATCATTTCCAGGAAATTCCAATTTTTAATTCTTTTCACTCAATTTTTAATCATTTCTGCTGTTATTTTATTAATACCCTGTTTCTCCAACAATACGGCCTCCCGCAATAGGAAGCCCCAGCATGTTTTACAGGCATGAAATGAAATGAAGCCCCTCCCCCCCAAATTAAGGCCTATATTAAAACATGGGAAATGGGGGGGGGGCTTGCCGTTAGGAAGTACTTTTGTTGCACACCTGGATATGGTGCTGCCTGCGTCGACCCCGATACAAAGTGCCCCACCAACGCCGAGGTCAACATCCAAGCCATCGCCGCCTGCCTGCCTGAAGATACAATGGGGGGGGGGAATTAAGTCACCCCCGAAAAGACGTCCTAGCCATTTTTTCGGGGCTCAAAAAAAAAAATAAGACCCGGCCTTATTAAATGAGAAACACGGGTATTATTAAATATTATTCTATTTGGTTTTACTAAATTCATCTTCACATTCTTTTTAATCCATCCAGTTTTTTTTCTTATAGATCTGTTTCTCATAGATCCTTCCAAAAAGGATCTGGTTCCTTTTCGTTTGACAATGGGGATTCTGTCATCCGGGTCATGGTTGTCTGACGGATGGAAGGAGAGCATGAAGGTTCCGCATCTATTTCGATAGGCACATGTTTGATGTGGAAGGCCCCCCATCTACTACAGTAGTTCGGGGGGTGGGGGGAGATTGAGACATGATAGCATCTTCCAGTGTTTGAGGGGCTTTCACAGCAAAGAGGGAGTCAAGCTATTCTCCAAAGCACCTGAAGGCACGACAAGAAGTAACGGATGGGAATTTATCCAGGAAAGATCCAACATAGAACTAAGGAGAAATTTCCTGACAGTCAGAACAATTAATCAGTGTGTCAGCTTCCCGCTGGAAGTTGTGGGTGCGGGCTTTTTACAAAGAGGTTCCACAGCCATTTGTGTGATGGTATTCTGAGGTTTTGGTAACGCTTAAGCAGGGGGCTGGACTGGAAGGCTGCCAAGGTCCAGTTCACCTTTGTATTCTAATTCCAGGGAAGCAAATTTATTTGGATTTTAACTTCAGACCAGTGCAGATCATTGTATCTCACTGATAATGCAATTGGCAAGCTGTGGAGAAGGTAGTTGTAGCTGTGCTGTCCAGACAGTTTAGAGTTAATGGGATTTGGATAGT